AACGACGACAACGACAACACTAGCTCCGCTGAGTATGTATCAGTTTACAGTTTTTCGTGTAGTGAAGTTGTAAGTGGTACTAAATGTTTGAATATCGGTGCGAAACTTGATTTGGATTAGTATTGCTAGTGAAAAGCGACATTTTTTGGATAAAGTCAGAGTTGTTCTTTTCGTACAAAATCGGATGTGATGGATGATACAGTGAAAAGGTAAACGCTCTACTAGTGAATGGAACTAAGCGTTTGTTTTCTCCGCTTTCATTCGTTTGAGCGGTTTAAGATGCTTTGTGAGAAAGGTTTCATAAAGTACGTGCGTTCTGTGACGAATTGTCGTGTGATTTTGGTGGTTCATTCGAGCATGGTCGTCGTATAGATAATAAAGACAATTGTAATCTTTGTACTAGGACCTGTCAATGTGTAAAAAAATCCGGTTAATAATGTATGTCGCTAGTTTTTGTACAGGCTGAACATGAGTCTTCATGTTAATGGAGCGGCGAACATACACGGTGAAGGAGTATTCTAACTAGATCGCATGTTTTGCAAATTTGAAGACCATTCGTAGATAGTGTGTGTTTGAATTGGCTGTACGGTGAACCGAAGCGTTTCCTATAACTTGATGGTGACTTTCAAACCTAGTGGAACGACAAGACTCATCATGCGTTATAGTAGTGGTATCTCGTAACTGGAAAGTAAAGTTATTAGACACACACAACCATGCACATTTAGTTGACTTCAGTGTCATTAAATTCGAACTATACCAGTCACATGTTTTGTCAATATTATCTAGAGAAAATGTTGGTAAATGAGAAGAAGTAACGGGGCATTAAAGCGTACAGGCATGCATCAGCAAAACGCATGCAATGTGCGAGCAGTTACAACACAGTAGACAATTCATTAATGAAGATAGAGAACAGCAGAACTTCACGGATCGACCTTTGAACTCCTCCGATTAACAAAAGTGTAGACGCTGAGAGACACGTACCGACTCAAACTTGCTGGAAACGATTGACGAAACAGCTTCAAAACCATGAAACCAAGACTGTGAGTGACCTAGTGTCGCTAAACGAGGCATGATGATTTGATACTGCACCTTATCGAATACCTTCTACATATTGAATGCAATTACGATTGTATCCAAAGAGACGGGTCTGATTTGTGAATATCTGCAATTATGTAATATCTATATGGGTCTGAAAATTCTTTTCAACCCACGCACCAAATCACCCATTAAGATATTCAAATACATAGACATATAGATATATAGATACTTAAAAATATTCAGATATTTAGATATTCAGATATATAGATGTGTAGGTATATAGACATTTAGATAGTCAGGTATTTATATACTCAGATATTCGGATATTTAGATGCGTAGATATGTAAATGTATGAATATTCATGGTGTTCAATATCAGGGGTGGCTCATTCTTATGCGCCTTCCGTTTTCCCCCGCTCCACAACAATCCGTAGTTTCAATTTATACTGAGAAAGAACCAGGCTTTTTTGCTTTTCTACCTTCTCAGTAAAATACACATTTTGAATATATGCTAGAAAACCAAGGTCTTCTACTTTTCTGGTTTTCTTTCGGCATGATTGTATGTCGATTTGTTTTCAAAAGGGAAGGAAATAGATATATTTATATTGAAAATCAAGGAAATATCTTTTAGTATTCGACATCCTATGATCTCCTGGCCAACCACCTTTTTTCTAAGTAACTCATATAAAGATCAAGCGCTCTGCATATCCAAAGTTGCCAATATCTACACATCTGAATATCTGATAATCTTTCCGAAGAAAGTCATTAGTTCTTTCCAAAAAGCATAACCGTGAAAATCAGAGCCTCTTGTATCCAAAGGTGATTTAGAGTCTCGATTATTCGCTAAATCGTTTAATAGATACTGTAGAGCAGCAAATGTGGATGTTTTGGTCGAAATCCAATTAGATTGTTTGAAAAAAAATGATGCTTATTGAGATGATCAGAAAGTTGATTATAGATAAACCTCTCCAGCATTTTCCTAACAACTAGGGAGAGATGTTGGTCGATAGTTTGAAACGATATTTTTAGAATCTTTCTTATATGTCTGGTTGACAGTCACATCCTTCCATTTGTTTGATTATTGTCTTGTATCGATGGAGAGTTTGAGGATGTGGTATACGTGCGTTGCAAATATACTCACATTTTTCTTAAATAAAATCATCATCATATTATCACGTCGATTACTGATACCGTTGGTCATCTGTTTTTCAGTTAGAAAGATAAAGTAAAGTGTTAATGTTGGCACAGAATTCTATGAAGGAAGTGGCGCAGGATCAGCCTGTGGAGAAGTATTTACCAAAGATATCAGCTTTTTCCTGATCTGTACCGTTGCTTATGGTTGAAGGTGCACTAGAATTTCCCTGCCTTGTGTGGTTGATAGCAGTCCAAAAAGCAGACGGTTTTGTAAATGATTTTCCTAAACGATTAAAATGTTCTCGCTTGTCCTTTATTAAAGCCTTTTCACTTTCTTTCGGCATCTCTGAACATTTTCTTATCATTTTCTTGTACTATTTTGCTTATACTTTTGAAAAGCTCGATTACGTTTGCGAACTGAGTGATAATAACTTCGAATATGTTTAAAAATAGATTTCGGCTTTATCTGTTCCATGACACTCAGCCGCCGTCTACACGAGTTGCTTTACATGAGCAGATCATATATCCAACGCAATATCACAGATTGTACTGTTGTAGAAATTAGTATCAATATTCGATAAGTCTAACAATAAATCAGACCGCATACATTTTTCATAGTCACGACGTTGTTTAAGTGCGCGTGTGTGGTCAGTAGGTGTATCGTTGGAAACTACTCTAAGCGCAAAATGAGGTGAATCACCTAACGCAGATGTGTTAGTTTTTCCCAATCACACGGTTAGAGTTAGAAGATACTATCAAGTTTTGTTTTATGTGGTGTGGTGGAATCGGAACGAGGAGACTAATGAAAATATCCTTTTTTAGTGCTCATTTGGTCTTTCTGTAAAAAACTATGGGCTGATGTGGGATTGTATTTTGGATAAATAGAGCGACATGAGGATTGTGTGTCCCTTGGATTCTTGAATACAAATGAGATCAGTTGTATTTAACGAATGCGTTTGACTAAACATTTTACGTCATCGAGATTAGGATATAAATCCTCAGTATTATAACATAAATTCTGATGTATTCTCTTAGTCCCATCAGATGCTTCCGGTTCTTGCTACTGCCGAGTTCAAATAGTTAAATACAAGTCTTCAGATATTTGTTAGTTTTCTTGTTCCCAATGGATTGACATCCATTCCATCTGGCATCAACGTATTTTGCTTAACATCGCATTCAATAATATCGATGTTACATTTTAAATTTAGTAATTCATTTAGTAATTATTTCTTGTAATTTATGACTTAAATATGGTTCATATTCTGGTGGTAATGTACATAATCTTGTATTTCGACTTGCTTTTTTAGAAACTTTAATTGAATCTCTCAATCTTTACCCTAATCTGCACTCACGTTCAACGCTCGAGGAAACGGTATTCAGAAAACAAGACAAGTAGATTTGCTTTTAATTGGCCAATCACATGTCTCTACGAGCCAAATATTATTGTTTCACATAAACGTTTTTCCTTTGAGCAACTGTAGTAGTCTGTTATAATTTTGTAGAAGGCAGATCAACGAAACTACTTTTACTATTTCCCCGTACACAGCAATTTTCGATTCTCTTTCAAATACATTACTGTTCGAATCATACTCGTTCAGAATTATTCTAACTATGAGCTTTTCTACCGAACGTGGAGGTTCTAAATGTGATGGCTAAACCCTAATTCACGACTGCTATTTTTAGCACAACCAGTACCCACAGTGTGCTCATCTTATATGTGGAATGCTACTGCTCAAGTCATTAACATCGATAGTTCCGGTTCAACACAAGTATCAGCGCCCTATGATGTTGCCATTGATAGTAATCAAAACATCTATGTCGCAGATTACAATAATCAACGCGTTCAACAATGGCAATCAGGTCAGAAAAATGGAAGTACAATAGCAGGCGTCACTGGTCAGGGTGGCAACGGTTTCAATCAGTTTAATAGGCCAACAAGTGTATTTGTGGATACAAATGGTAATTTATATGTTGCTGATCGAGACAATTATAGAATTCAACGTTGGGCACCAAATTCTGTCATTGGCGTGACAGTAGCGGGAGGTAAGAACCAATTCTCTCTCTTTTTCTCTGCTTAGACAGCCACTTCTGTCTCTTCTAGGCAACGGTTTGGGTAACAGTTTAACACAGTTTGGTCCCAGTTATTCAATTTACGTTGATGCCAATATGAGTATATACATATCCGATTATCAATATCATCGAGTGGTAAAATGGGTGTCAGGTGCCCCCAATTGTACGGTGGTAGCAGGAGGGAATGGTGCTGGCAGTTCATTAACACAATTGCACAATCCTATCGGTATAACTGTCGATACAACAACAGGTAACTTGTATGTTGCCGATTCCGCAAATCATAGAGTCCAACGATGGTCACCTGGCGCATGGCAAGGAGTGACGGTTGCCGGTCAATCTGGTGTTCCAGGAACGGGATCAAATCAGTTCAATACTCCACGAGCAGTACAACTTGATAGACAAGGCTATTTATATATATTAGATTATGCGAATACCAGAATACAGCGTTGGGCGCCAAATGCAGTTTATGGGGTGACAATATTAGCAACTACTAGTGGCAAAGGTACAAATCAATGGACTTATCCGTATAGCATGAAAACGGATCAACTGGGAAACTTGTATGTTGTTGACGCGTATACTAATCGTGTACAAAAGTACACATTATCATGCGGTAAGTAAGTTCTCTCTCACTGTCTAAACGCGACCGCTTTCGTTTTCATTTGCAGGGCCAACGACGACAACGACAACACTAGCTCCGCTGAGTATGTATCAGTTTACAGTTTTTCGTGTAGTGAAGTTGTAAGTGGTACTAAATGTTTGAATATCGGTGCGAAACTTGATTTGGATTAGTATTGCTCACTGATAAACCCGGTCGCTATAGATGCTTCGTACAACTGTGGATGGTCTTTAACAAGCTTTGTTGATCAGATTCAGGGGGAAGTTGTTTCCTTCTAGATGACGGATATTCGCGTATTTATTGCTGCAAAAGCAAATAATTCACTAGTTGTGGCTACGAATTCTTGGAAGATTTTTTCAGTTTAAATCACTTAATCACATTTGGGTTTTATTTATTTGTTTCTATAGACGAAGACGTAAAAAATCGAATGAAAATATACTGCACAATAATTCATTGTTGATTTGAAGAGCATCACTTAGTTATATTTTGTTGACGAAAAAGAAAACCTTGGGACGATTTTTAATAACAACGTTATTGCACTTTCGCTAGATGCCGTGATACAAATTAAATAATTGGTACATGCCTCGTTTGCTTCGACACCTATATTACTTTTATGAATGAAGACAGAAGCCAACCACATTCTTATGCATTGATGAACTGAAACTATGATTCTGATGAGAAAGAAAGTTCTGGAAATTCAAAGTCGAGCGCTTTTTTATTTTTTCGATTTTCATACATAATTCGATAGAGCTCGAGTCATCCTTGAATAAAATGGTCAGTTTCGAGTCAAGTTCAATGAAAATTTGCATTATAGGTAGAAAACATCGGAAAATCGATGACGAAAGGAGTTTTCTAAAAACAGCAACTATTTCGAGGATTTTTTGTGCCCTACCAACGCTGAGACATTGAGGTTTGACTTGGAACTTGCGGAAGACTACGGTTTCAAGTAATGTATTACATTAACAAAACATCACGAAAGTTTCAACATGGCTTCATTTTATTCAGACTTCTTTTTTTTATGGTTTTAGAACAGTTGTGGGCTAAGAAGACTTTCAGAAACCAGCTTTTCAAAAAAACCTCTGGAGATGTTCAAGAGACTTCAAAAGTTTTCTCATTAGATTTTCCGATGTTTTCTACATATAAATCCAAATTTTCATTGAATGTGACTCAAAACTGACTCATCAACTGAGAATAACTTGCCCGATTTTCGTCAAATTGCTCAGATTTCAGCAAAAACGCAATATTTTAGGAACGAAAAAGAATCTCGTAAAACGAATGCGTACTTGTTTTCGTGGTGGTATGGAGAGTAGAATCAATTAAAAATATTGACTTTTTCTGAAACCTGTAACGACTTCAAGCTTTTAGCGCTAACAGCATAGGGTTTTCGCGCTCTCCTGAAATTTTAAATTCTTTTTGGTCCTATCATACTTGAATTTTTTTATTAGAAAATTTCGAGTTTTTTGAAATTGTGGATCCTAAACACTTTTTTAAAACTCGACAACACACATATTCTTACTCAGCTCAACGAGCTCTATCCAACCATGTATACAAAGTGAAAAAATAAAAAGCGCTCAACTTTGAATTTCCGAAACCTTACTGGAATACATATTCACTATAAACAAGTACAGCTAACATCAAAATGGCGATCAATCAATAATTTGATAAATATAAATTAATGTTTCATAACGTTAGAACAAAATAATATTTTACTGTTTTATAGGTGTGTGCTTTGCTAAGAGCGATGGAGATAACAAGTATGATGCATTATTTGCTTTATTTTTATTTTGACATGGTTTTTGTTGGTAATACAGCATGTTATATTGAAATTCTCTCTCTCTATTCAGACACAATTTGAAGCAAAAGCTAATGCTCAATGAAAAGAGACATCGTACGTTAATGAAAATGAGAGGCTCGGCGAAGAATGATTAGGATTTTTGACAGTAGTTATCGCCTGTTCAGGATAAAACATATCCAGGTCCAAGAAAACGGGACCGTTAACGGCTAGTTAACTGGTTGTTAACAGTAAGTTAATGTGCCGTAAACGGACCGTTCTCAGAACCTAAAACTCGTAAAGTTTTAGGGTCTTAAATAGATCGTTTTCTCAACATTTACTGGTCGTTTTTTTTTGAAATGGGCTATTATATTAACCCCTAAAGAATTTTTGTCCGACTTCGGCATACTGACTTATCTGTCGAATCTACCCTTTATCACTAATCGATCTAATCTATGTACTAGACTATACATATAATCTAACTGCAATAAAACTTTTTTTGCTTATTTGAAAATATCGAGACTCGCACATCAGAACTTGTGTTTGCCAGTCTGTCAGTGTAACTATATAGCCATGTCGGAACGAAAACCAATATTATCAAAGTGATATTCAAGCGTTATGCATTGTTTTTAAACTGTTAACTAGGACCATATTATGGTCCGCTTTTACATCGTTTTGAGCTAAAATTAACTTTAAGGCATACGCCACGAAACATGGAAAAAGAAATCCAAAGTAGTGTGTGCTTAGCTGAGAGAACGTCGAAAAAAAACTGAAACTGCCAGTTAAGGCAACGTGGATAGAAGTACGAAAAAATATAATAGGACATACTAATAATATCACATATTATGTGAAGATAGAAACAGAAATAAAAACTACGCTTATATAATATTTGGTTTACCGTAAAGCATTGAAAAACAACCTAAAAACAGTCCGTTAACTGGTTGTTCATGGTCTGTTTACGGTTAGAATTGCGGTAGAATACAGTACTGAAAAATGACCTAAAAGCGTGTCTGTAGCGGGCCGTTAGGCGCCAGTGGATGGCCATTTTCTCTATGAATGATAATGAGTCAGGAAACGTTCAGCAAATGGTCAGTCAAGAAATTTTCAAGAAAATAAACACATCTCAAGCTCGACAACCTCAAATAACAAAACAGACAGACATTTTCTTCGATTTCTCTTATTACGGGCTAGAATCTATCGAGTTCGACCAGAAAATAAGAAAGCTTTGTAACAAACTATTACCAAATGTTACGCTGAATGCAGCGTATAAGAAATATTCTACTCTTAAAAATGTATTCTTACCAATTGAAAAAGGCGTCGATCCATCTCGAAAGCATAAGAAATTAATCTGTTGTATATTGTAATAATTAATGAAATATGATGAATAAAAATTATCTGGTGTCGACGATTTTTTTCTCCCTTAATTGTATGTTTTTTCCTGTCGATTAATAGTAAAAGTGAAAGCGTTTTCATTTTTGTTCTTATTTAATTAGCTTAAAAATGGGAAATCGACAAATATATACCAAGCCAATTAGCTTACAATCTGAGATGATATCATCTACTAAGATATACTGATTAATCTTCACTTTAATCTTTTTGTCTATTGAGCTTTATTAATACTTTTACAAATCAAATTACTTGTGTTGATCATTTTGATAATCAAATGAACTGATTCAATTTAATCTCATTTATACTATAAATAAATAATATTATATCATTAAAAAGTCTACTATATTCATTTTCAGCATCTATTATAAAAGTCGATTGTACTTATACTTAAATTTAAGTACTCATATCACCGATAAAAAAAAATTAAACTTTGTTTAGAGTTAAAGAAAAGTGCTTTTTCGTATTCAGCACACTTGATAACCTGAAAAATTTTTCATTTATAACGAGGGATACTGACAAAAAGTTTAGAAAAATTTTCAAACAAATTGCCCATGGTAAAATTATAAAATTTTGAAAATTTTTCTTAACTTTTTGTCAGTATCCCTCGCTAAAAATAGAAAATTTTTCAGGTTATCAAGTGTGCTGAATACGACAAAGCACTTTTCTTTAACTCTAAATGAACTTTAATTTTTGTCGGTGATATGCTATCGCTTTCGTCGTAATTCTTCAACCCGAAGAATGGAGGAAGATAAAGATTCTTTCTTTACAAAGCAATTCGATAATTGGGATCATTTCGAACAAGATTTTAAAAATTGGTGTAATAATTACTATCAACCAGTAGAGCAGATTGAAATAGTGCTTTCATTTCTTTCACCTCTGATGGGAAAGAAATGAAAGCACTATTTCAATCTGCTCTAATGAATATTAAACGCTCGTCGATGAAATACAATATGAAAACCATGAAAGACTTATTTGATCGTTTTCGATATGAAAATATAAAATATGTATGTCATCATAGCGGTGGTGTTAGAAGAAATATAAAGAATGGGTCAAGACCAAATCAAGAATCAGTTCGATTAAATTGCCAATTTTATTTCAAAATAAATCGTGATATGGAAATTAATAAAATTACTTTTATGAAGAATAAAACTTCGCTCATACTCATCCGATACATGAGAAAATTTACAAGAATTATTCGCTTATCAGAAATAAAGAATAGAAGAAAATAGTCAAGCATACGATTTATGTAAAACGTTAATCACTGTCAATGCTTCAACATATAATAATCGAAAATTAATAAATGAAAAATTTAATATTAATTTAACAAGAAAAGATATAAATAACTTTAAACAAAAAACAAAATTTAACTTAGTTAGGAATCAAAGTGATCCAGAATTATTACAAACTTAACATTAATTTACAAAAAATCAAATTCATGTGCTTAAAATTCCATTAATAAATCGAATGAATATTATGAAAAATATTCGCCGATTGCTGTATGATAATGATCAAATGTCGGCCATTTATTTGAAAGAAATTAAAATTAATTTGGACAAAACTGATTTCTACGAATATTTTGAAAAAAATTGGCTCTCGTGCTGCGAAATGTGGCAAACAAAAAAAAATCATAAAAATTTATTTAATTTTGATACTGATACCAACAATCATCTTGAACGATTTAACCGAAAACTTAAAGATCATATATCATTTAAAATGCATATATCTGAATGCGTTACAAAATTAGTTTTACTTGTTGAAGACCTTAAAGCCGAAGAAATGAATTTAAATATTAGTTTGAAATAAATTTTCTGAAGGTTCAATACTACTTAAAAAATTCAGTTCACAAATTACAAACAAAGTTATTGAATTATGTCGTAAAGAAAATGATGAAATAAAACTTAAACATTATTTTATTGAAAAAATCGAAGATAATAAATGGAGAATTGGTCAAAAGGACGAAGAAAAAAATCATTTTATTACTTCGAGTATAATTTATGGCGATTCATGCAAAGACTTATTATTTTGTGATTGTCGGTTTTATTTACAAAATCAGTTACCCTGTCGTCATACGATAGTCTTGCTTAATAAAATTAATGATCATATGTATGATCAAATATATGAAATACAACAAATTATTTCACTTCACAAGCGATGGTTAAAAAATCCAGTTAATTATTATTTAAATGAAATCGATGATTATAATAATATACAAAGTTATGATTCGTAATTTTTGGTTACTCAAGTTACAGCCCAAAGAAATAAAATTTTAAAAACCCGTCACGACGATGAAACACAATTATTGAGGGATGAAAAGCTCTTTGAAAAGATTCTTTTTTAGCAATCAGCAGCTCGTTTACTCCTCTAAAAACTTTGCTCGAGGCACTTTTTATTAGCTCTTCTAAATTCGCAGCAAATTAGCTTTTAACGAGAAGCACTTCGAATTTAGGGCCTTTTTTTGTCACAGCGTCACGCGCCGAAAAACACTTCTAAAAGTTTGAGTCCTTATCCACATACCTTCATTTTTATACCAAAAGTAGAGTATGGCGAGCTGCGCAAGAACGACGGTTCTAGCTTATACACTTTTTGAGGAAAGCTCAAATTACTGTGTCAAAAATGTCACAGCGTCACGCTTGGACAAGCCGTTTAACACATTATTGTCTATCACTTAGATATGATTGAAACCATTGTAGAAGAGCTGCACTGATTCAGAGCTGTTCTGGTTTAAAAAGTAAACCGCCAAGCCACACGCGGTCGGGCGCTTTCCTAATGTCGAAAAATATCCCCCGGATTAAATTACTTTTGTCGAGTGCTAACGATATTTCGTGTGTGATCCGTAGTCGATGTTCTTATTAAGCAAGAATGCAAGATCTTGTTACATTTCTTGCACATTCTTGCCTCTTTCTTGCTCGAAGAAAAATATATGAAAACTTTCTTGTGACAAGAAACTATCTTTGTTGCACACGAAAGCAAGAACACTTTTCTTGTCACTTCTTGCTGTTACCAGCTTCACTGCAAGAAACAAGCTCTTGCAATAGAAAAAATCAATCTTGCGTTAAAGGATGAAGCGTTAGCATGTGTTTCTTACAGTGATACCTATGTTAATATACCTACGCTTGCGATATATGTAGATTATACAAAGGCTTTTGATAGGGTGTGGCACACGGGACTAGTAAAATTGCAGTAGTGCAGGTGCTTTGTCATAAAAAAAGCGTAGATGGGCATTAAGTTTAAAAGATAAACAAAACATCCGAAACAAGACGTAGGATCCTGTTTGACGTGGACATCATGGAGCTGCATGCGTCTAGACCTTTTTGATCAACATCAATTAACTGATAGTAGTTAGAACATGTTCATTTTAACATGATGGAAACAGTTTGAAAATGAGATATCTCCCATTTCAATAGGATGTTTTTTCGAAAAAGTTACGTTTTCACATGACTTTCTCTTCCAATGTTTTTGTTTGTCGTAATTTTTTTCTTTTAGATTTGTGTTTATAAAGATTTGAAGAACTTAGTTTTACGACACAAGATATATATATATAGGAAAGAGAGCAAAATGTGACTTTAAATGTACATCGCTGGGAAAGTGGAACACGTACTTGACGACGCGCCACTTGTAGTTCATGTTTTCTAAGGAAGGTCACTATAGTTGAAATTGATTGGATTGACTTTCTTTTATTTAAAAACAACATTACCTTGTTTTTGACCATGATGTTGCCTACAACAGAGAAGTTTTTAAGTTTGTTTAAATACACTGATAAGATATATACACATTTATAATTTACTAAATTGTTTATCTGTTTCTAATTGATATTGGATCGGATAAAGAATAGTCATGCATAAATTTCTCGTCCAATATTACCGTTTGATTCAATCCATTATCAGTAAAGAAAACATAAACAGTTTATTAAATTATAAATTTGGATATATCTTATTCCTTTGTTTGGTCGAAAACAAAGTAATTTTTTTAAACAAAACAAAAGGAGAGTAATCCAATCAGTCTCAAGTGCCCCTTTTAGTGATCAAATTTTAAGTTTTACTGTGACCATATAAAGAGAGTGTCATATCAAAGTTGTTTGAGTCAGTGAAGAGCGCTAAGTGTAATCTAAGGTATATTATATGAAGACTCCTGAGTGGAAAACGAGTCTTATTTAACTAGATTTTCTTCTGATTATGTATCGTGAGAAACACTTGCATAAACCTCATAGCGATAACCGTTGACACATAGTGCAGGAAACATATTGATTCGTAGAGGTCAGAGGTGTAACAGTGAACACTTACTAAGGATTTTCCGTTGCAATCAGTATGTTTTCTGCTAACTACCTTTTTGTAAAAACAACATCATTTTTTTGGTTTTTGGGGATGGTATGACTTTCAAAATTAAGAATTTCTTCAGAATAATACAAGACTTCATTTAATAATGTTTGGGATGTCGTCTACATTTTATAACACTAGAATGTTTTATTTTTTATTTGTTATTCGAATTTTTGTTTTGTCGTCGTCTCTTAATTTGTTTGTTCTGTTTGAAAACTAGAAAATGTCTTTGTCCTTGTTTATTTCTATATCTTGAAATAAAAGCCTTCAACCAAATCAGACCGTCTAATTTTTAGTGGAAAGAAATACCTTAAAGACAACGTTTGTTGGACGCCTTGACAAATACTGCAGTAAAAATGGACGTTCCAGATCCATTTGACTATATGTTTGTTTGTTTCTCGTTATGCCGATCCTATTGGACACGGACTATTTTCAAACGACATGGAAGCCTAATTATTTGGCACGTCTTCTGTTTAATTTTGAGAGAAGCCGAGCAGCCAAGGCGTCTCATATAAAATTTACATCGTTTTAGAACACTAGCGTCTTTTATTTTGGAACTAGGATCCAAAAGTGCACTCAGTATGCCTGCGCACATCACAATTTGTTAGTGTAACCTTGATTTAATATAAGTTTCCTCATGAGAAAGCATGACTAGCTTTTTTTGACCGTATCCTTGCAATAAACAAAATTTTCGAGGTAAGGAGCCTGATTCACGAATGTCATATCAACTTAATTTCGTTGTACTGTGTTAGCGGACTACTGTTCGACCGCTAACCATAACCATGTTCACAGTCATGTTTCATTCCTTTTTCTGTTCATCTCATTTATTCATGCGTCATTTATTCATTTTTGTGCATATGCTGACTATAGGCACATGTTATATTCCTCCGCCGTGCTCTTCTCTTTGTTTTCATATATATATATATACAGGGGTTATTAATTTTGTAATTATTGTTATCTTATATTATTTCATAAAAAGAGACGTATCTATTGAGATCATTTTAGGCGCATATTCAGTTAAGTAAGTCAGTTGCTGATTATTTATTTTACTGTATTATTTTCTCTTTAGAATTTCAAAATTAAATCCTCGACAATCATGTTCGACTGGGACTTTTTTTATTTGTGGTTGCATTGACTTTTTTTCGGACCTCTTCTATACATCATCATTTATTTTGTGTTATTTTTTGTTGGATTAACATGTGTTTTTGAAAAAGCTGGAATTAGTAGTTATTTAGCCCTAGTTCCGCTTGTAGATTGTTACTATTTAATAAAAATTGTTCGTATAAAATACTATTTTGTTTTTCTGTTTTTCATACCTGTTGTTAATTCTTTTTTCTGGTTTTTTATAATGGATCGGTTAAGAAAAACATTCGGCTTATCGTTTGGGAGTACATTTGGTCTTACATTTTTATCGTCAACATTTTTATCGTCAATATTTTTATTTTGGATTGGTGTTAATACCAGTCACTATGATCAGAAAAGACTAAGCGTTCTTCCTGAGGAAAGCAGTTGATTAAATCTTTAAAATTTGTTTTTGTGTCTCATACCTTTTGATGTCTCTTTCGTCATAGTTTTGTCTCATGTGCGTGGCTTTGTCTTTGCTCTAATAAAATTTCTTTTGCTCCATGATGAATAGTTGAATTTCTTTTTTCTTGTTACGATATGATCGCTGGCTTTTAATAGCGCTTATTTTTCGACTTTAGTTTCTGTATGCCCGCCTAGTCAGAGAACAGAATTAAATTCTTACTTTCTCATGCAAATAGTCAAGGAAAATTCAATGTATTTTTTACTGAGTGTAGACCACAAAGGAAAAGCGCCACATCTTTCTGAATCCGGTAGCTGAAGCAAACTAGTAGAATATAAGAGTACCGTTTGTTATCATGCGAAAATATTTGAACCAAAAGTAACTTGGGAGTACAGCCAAATGACTTGCGTATATAAATCAATAGACCGCCTGTGAATATTAAAAGTATTACCAACTGAATCAAGAATCCATAGCCAATTGCATTTCCCGCATCCATCTTTAGACGAAAGACTGATACTCTTAGATACGTTTTCATTATCATTAAATGTGCATTACGCACTTCGCCTTCACCATAGATTTCAGCAATTTCACGTAACTTAGATGTCGATGTTAAATTGTTTAACTCAACGACATGATCGTAGCCCATAGCTAACCGATAGTGGTTCATCGCAAAATATTCATTCTTGATGGTGAATAAGCTAAAATCATTGGAGGTGTCGTCAAAGTATAAAGCTCAACGACCGAATTCACATTGCTATGCTTACGAAACCTCTCGTACAACCAGCTCATCTCTTTGCAGCGTTAGTCACCGTATTCGTGACGTGTTGTGCCGATGATCTGCGTCAAATTGTTAACACACCGCCGTTTCACTGCCAGACAAATCAGTGGGCGCAGAAGTTGTGGTGCATTTGCCAGTCGAAGCAGTAATTGGGATGCTTGCGCATGATCAGGTGATGTATATTCGCGTATGTTTTCGAAACTGGGTCGAAAGTTAATGCAATCGTTGAGATCACGCTCGATGAAACGGCCATTTGTATCAAAAAGTCGTTTAGTGAGGAAACTCATTAACTCTTCACGACGTTCATTGATCGGATCTGTGAGAGGTCGACGAAAGTAATCATAGTCGAGTAAATATTGAATAACGCTGTTATGACCATTTGCGGCGGCTACGTCAAGCGCAGACTTGCCCTGATACATGATCAAATTTACGCGCCTAACCAATAAGCGAGGTATAAGTTCGCGAACCTTGTTTAAATCACCAGTCTCGCAAGCTCGGTAAAACTGCTCACATCGCGTATGGTCATTCTGACTCACATCCTGTAACGACAGTATGTTGGAATTTTTGTTCTCCATCAATGTTATTCTCTTTCCAACATTTCTTCCACACAG